CGAGATCGAAGCATCTGCAGGGTGCTGCAGCTCATCACGTATCATCTTATACTACGCGTTCCCGATGGAGGTTCTAAATGGACTCACGATGCCCACCCACCCACGCGTTGCGTCGTGAATGACGGGASAATGGGTGTAGTGAATTTGTGATTCATCAGCCGGTAAAATTACCACCGGTGTTGTGCTATTTTCATTGGAGCTTTTATTAAGTCCCTATAATTTGGTTTCTGATGGGAATTATGACATACGTTTTTCGTATATTATGTAATTTTTTTACACGTATGATAAAACTTAGGTTAATTTWTTATTATCTAGGAATATTGAGTTTTGAAAAACACGCATCATAAGTATYACGATAATAAGTATAACTTTGAAACTTGTGAACATTTTTKAAATCGTAAATTATGTTGCAATACTAACAATTGTAAACCTTAAAATTGTCTAAAACATGCCAACTCTTCTTTTGAAGACACTTTGCCTTAAAATCCATAYGATATTACAACAACCGTTAAACATTAATAGCAATATATAGTAAGTATGGTACACATTTGTAATAAAAATAAATATGTGATATTTTGGGAGAAATTATTCAAATTACACAATTAAAGAAGACAATATTTTTGATATAAATAACAGTGGTTTGTATTTTGCAATCATTAAAAATAATATTAAAACACGGTTGTATGTTCAAATACGATCTGGTACACAATTTTTCATCGTWAGAGWTGAAAGTTTATTGAAAAAGGGTTAACTCTAGATTAGGAAATCTTTAAAAATTAACCTATATGGAACCAAAAAATATTCGACCAATTTTAATGATTAAAAAACGTATTGATAATATAGACTGAAGATTTATGGTGTGTATGCATGGTATCCGCTAATATAATATTATTACATAATATGTTAGTTTATTTCTGCGTGTAGGTAATTGATTGTATACGGAAAGAAAAAAATTTACTTGTTATATACTCATCTACCGTAGGGCGATTACTCGTCTCGATTATATTGATCTTGAAAAACGCTATATACTTAGCTAACTTTATATTTTGAAAATAAAATAAAGCTGAAGTTAGGATTATATGATGGTGACACATAATTATATGAGACACTGTCTTCATAGTGAGGTGTGCACAGTGTATAAGGCTATATACCGRGGAACGACTATCGCCGACAGACCGAACAGTGCGAGTAGTTTAGAACAGTAGAAGGTGCAGAAGCAGAATGGATCAATACGTTCGAGGATCTGGTCGGTTACGATTGATCTTGGAGCATCACTCGAACTGCGTAAAACATCTCTATAACATTATTATGTCATCGCGGACAAAAATGACGCGCTGTTCTTTGTTGCCGTTTTTCCTGAAGCAAATAATACGGCGGYCACAGCCCTAATATYATATGCCCTTATAGTCGAAGAAATCCAGACAAAATAACACAACGTGAAAATACGTGACAGACTACGTATATGGTGTTCAGTGGTAATAGTCACCCAGTTTTTTTTCATGGCCCACCGGGCCACCGACATCATGCAAGGGTGGACCAAATACAGCAGAATATCGGCCGCGAGGTAATTCGGTGGCCACCGATTCCGCAGAACCACTTTTTCGATCTCAGTCGTGAGGTAATTCGGTGGCCGCCGAATCCACAATACCACTTTTTTGATCTACGTTTTGTTACTTTTTCATCGACAGTATCGTTCGTTACCACTGTCGTCGTCACATAAAATACGCACTTGCAGTTCGCCGAATATATCGTTACYGCCTCGGAGCCATCACATCGTTCCTGACACTTCTTTTGCTGTAGGTACATTATTCGATTGCCCGAAACGGTCTGCGATTCGCGATAATAATTTATAGTGGCGAGGTTTGACCGTTGGGCCACAACTGATTATAAATTAACATTTTCAGCAACCATGCCGTCGTGTAAGAACTGAAACCCTAACCTACTGTTGCATTTACGCCCGTTCACCATATTGAAATTATAACAGTAACTGAAAGAATCTGCTAAAGTGATACGTTGTTAAATGTTAGCATTCATAATTAAATTGTAATAAAGTTGCAACTAMCCTATCCTTTCATATTTAATAGAATAAATAAAGAATCAATTTAATCTTTCATAGAAATCTAACACTCTCGAACACTTTATAGCTATAGAGAAAAACTCCACTTATACATTATCCAAAAAAACAAGTACATGAGATTGCAAATAACATATTATATTGTGGACATAAAGAAAACTGTAATTCTATTGAGCCTGYAGCTATACCATTGACAGCTATCACCGGGAAATGATTTCTTATTTCTAAATATTCATTCAATACTGATTTTAATAGTTTATTTAGTGTGATTAGAAATTAGAATAGGTTGCAGTTTCCATGCATGTCATATCAGTTTTATACTTGATTACATGTTTTAAATACTATTTCGAAATGCATAATTATCGGTTCTAGAGTCTRGACATAGACACATAGTATTGGTGAGTATTGGCGCATTGTTAAAAGTACTGATAAGTAACGGCTAATTTAAATTAATTATTAATTAAACAATTTCTAAAGCAAAATATTGATTATGTATAATGAACATACACGTATATGTATGTATGTTTAATATTTTATATTAACTATACAAATGGACGATTTTTGGTCAATATCAAATATGGTTTGGCGTATGCCGTATAGTGTATACGCAAAATAGGTAGGTACCTACATTTGCTACATAATGACTATTGTGTCCAATGCTCACTTTACATTTTAGCCTTTCGTCAATCCGTTTGCCGTGGAAATGTGGCGTTGTGGTACCTCACAAACCAAAGCGAAATTTACCAAATGAGTTGTACCTACCCAACTTAGTTATATTRTTTTATCCTGTAAATAGCAAAACTTTTTGAAGCATATTCAACTCAAGATAAATTGCTGGTAAGTTGTGCTTAATAAGAMATGATATGTATTTGTTTATTATAGCTAGGCTTCTTTATCCTTGCCCTAAATATTAMATATTTCGTTTATTGTGCAGTGGCTTGCTGTGGCAGACGATGCTTWTAACATCATAACGTATAGTTGAGTTTTGGAAAATCGTTGATTTTAATTCATATTTTTTGCTGTTTATAACTACCTCCACTAGTATTATTATATTATATTATATTSTTATTATTATTATCACTTAGCGGTCGAGTCGTTTTCGACAACGTCAGCGCAGTGGACCAAACAGACGTTGTGGTTGTAGCTGCGGATCTGTCTATTCCTCTTCACGAACCGATGGTTCGATTCCGCGAATCGTGCCACATCGAAATTTCACAGAATTCAACATCGCGGATGACCCGACAATGGTAATGCTTATGTGCRTACACCGGCACTTGGTCATTATTTTTATTAATATTATTATTATTTTACTCGGTTGCGGTACCTTTATACATAGCACGCCATCGTGTCAGACGAAAAACGCGCCTTTCGGTGGGGAATTAATATGGAGTTTGGCTACAAGTACAAAATGTATTAAATTACGTATATCGCGTGCGTCAGTTGACCCGTGATAATTACATGTTGTCGTGGCCCACACTCGATGAGCATCATAATTTATACACATACATATATACATTATGATAAGGAGAAAAAATATTTTTTTTAGTAGGTATTACGATAACGACAGAGTGTGAACGAGTGTGCAATGTGAGGCGGCGAGAAACGTCAAATTGATCATAAAAGGAAATATTATTTTAACGGAAGAAATTATTATTTTTTTAACTTTTTAACTTTTTAATTGCCTGCAAGTAAAACACCGCATTGTATATGGTGTATTGTGTTATGTACACATATGTTTAGATATCGCATTGTGATGTGTTCATATACGAAACGATCCACAGAGTAGTTATTGGGTCGTAGGAATCGCGCTTTTCAAGTATTGGACGTCATCAGGTGTTCGTTGTTCGTACGTATAATTTCATTTTATATTGGGCGTACTATAGTAATCTTATGCTCGCAACCGTACGTCATATTATTAATTGTACGTATTCGCGTGAAAGCAGCGGACGAAATAAAAAAAAAAAGAAAAGTGTTGTCGTTATTTATAAGCACCAGCTATTATAAATAAATTAGGCGTAGTAGTCACTGTATAATATTGTGAACATAAATATTTTTTTTTTTTTGTACAATTATGTTTTGGCAAATTAATCGTGGCTGCACGATTTTTCACCCCTCTCGATAACGCAAACGATTCCGATACACTGTTATTAATCCAATACTATATTATTATTATAATATTATATTGTATAAAAGTCAAAACAATAATAACTGTTTATTTTTTCCGAGGAATTGTAATAATATTCTCGTTGTCATATTGTGTTTAACGGCAGCCGACTTATTATAAATGGTAGGTATATTAGGTATATATACCCTGCACTCATAAAGTTCGCGTCAAAGACCACATTGCTTAAGATCCATACCAATATAATTTGCCTATATTGTGTTGGTGTATAACTACGGTCTACGGTTAATTGAACTGAACAGAATTCAATATATACTGTTCAACTGTTGTGTACACTTGCTTATAATTAAAAGAACATAATAATATGTCATATGTTTTATTTACTTCTGATTTTTATTTTATTTATAATAGAAGCAAAAACATAATATAAAATATTATTATGCTATATTTGAATATTTCTTAAATAGTTTTTTAGACTTATATTTACAACTGATAGAGTTATCTACATCGTCATCGAAACACTACGGACAACATAAGTGCATAAAATACAATACTATAATAATGTACAGACATACAATATATAGGTTAGATTCTAAACATTATATATGTATTATATAGTAAGTTATACATCATAATGTTATATTAAAGCTACGAATATTGTTTTCTCTAAACACAGATTAYCATTAAAGGTTTTATATAATAATTTGTTTTATATCGTACATTTGCTCCAATATTAAAATGCTATAATAAAAAATATACAACAGTATGTATATTTGTACATAATATACCATTTAAAAGTCTATTTGAAACAGTTTTAAAACACTGAAAATAAGTTTCATGCCTCGTCTCGTCTCCTCTTCGCAAAATTTAACGGTCCAACCATTGTTTCCAAACCTGAAATTAAAAAAAGATCAATCAATAAAATTCCTATTATAGTATTATATTATATGATGATTAAAAATTAACTTGGTCCGGGAACTTTTAAGATAGATTTTTTTATTTGTTGTAATTTTTAAGCAGATAGCCCTATTCGTAAAGGTTGTTATCAACAAATAAGACACGATATATTGTCAGTATATTATTATTATTATTTGATTAGAGGGAATACCCGTGGCAACATACGATAGACCATTGGGTGTGGGGCGGTACGGTATAGAGGTTATTTTCGTGTATTTCTTTGTAGGTTTTTAAGTTGGTAGGGTTTAACACGTATTTGTATATGTGTGGCAAGGATATGTTGCTAAAAAYCYCGGGTGGTCGCCCATCTGGGAGTTAGCATCTGCGGCTGATACGTACGCTCAGTGCGTTTCCGCAGATTGAGCGTATAACCGTCGCGACTCACTAAGCCACTATCATATTATTATTTTGTCAATAAATCATCATAAATAACAAGATTTACTTGTCTACAATAGGTATAAAGTAATAGTGAAAATAAGTTGACTATTTTTTTTTTTAACATTGTGTTATTTATATTATTATCTTAAAAGTAGACGAGTCTATTTTCTTGCAATCAAATAAATATTGTTTAAGTTTAATCAACCGTCAATAATATATTTATTATACTATACAATATTTTTTCAAATAAAAATAATTAAATCTGTTTTTATGATTATAAAAGTATACAATTTAAAAATTAATATTGATGGAAAATAAGGTTAAGATGATAAAACACTCATAAATTGTAATTTAATTACAGTACTAAAAATTGTGCATTAGTTGGTTTTAAAATTTGATAATACTTTTTTTTTCATCGACATATTATATATATATTATTTAATATTTATAAATAAGAATGATTTAATATATGTACTAATCACACATTTCCGGGTATTTATTTTTCGATAAAAACAATATTCTATTCCTTTTTATCAATACCCTCTATACAGTGAATGTTATGTTAGGTATATCATATTGCGTTACTAACAAAATTTACTATAGATAAAGCGCTATAACATATCAATTTGGAGAAATAAAACATGGAGCGACCTCGAAATTATTATTTTTTTATAAATTCTAGCATTATACACACAAATATAATGATATATAATATAATACGATGGTCGCGGTATAGGTATATAAAATACGTAGGAATTTCAACTTTATTATATTATACAAGACGGTGGATAACAGCGTACCTACATAAAAAAAAAAATAAAATAGGAAAACCGAATCGACGGGTTAAAAAAATAATAATACCTAATAATAATAAACGTTGCTGTAAACTAATAATAAGCCGTTTTATATGGCGATTAGCGTGTGTGTAATGTGTATAGAGGTCAGAAGATGTGTCTCGTATAGGTACACGAATGCACCATGCCCCTCGTCCAATATAATATATAATACCATGTAATATTGACGTGTATAACTAATATTTAGATTATAGTTTTTTTCTCTATTATTTTTTATACCCTTGAAACACCGCTCAACACACACACAATTATAATATATACACCTTATAGATCCACTGCCTGCTCGGTACGCGGCGAGGTCACACGTACGGATAACCGGATTGTTTTAATATCCAAAAATATTAATTTATCACTGAGTCTATATAGTAGCCAATTAGGCAATCCTGGATTGCAGTATTAACGCCATTAACCTCCGATACAAAATCGGTTTTACACAATTTTTTTCCCGATCCGCATAGAATCTTCTCTATAAATATTGGCGGCGCTACGCATTTGAACATCATGCAGTTATTCTATAGATCAAACGTGTAATATAATTTACATAATYCCATAATAATGATGTTATAACATAAGTTTATCTGAAGTATAAGTCCGATATTATAATGTTTAATATACATAATAATATGTATATGAATAGCTTAATATTATATGATTTTATTGTGTATAATATATACGTGGTGAAAATTCTGAAAATGTTTAGCAAACTTGTTTCAATTGAATGGCATATTCATCGTCATGATGATAATACTAATGATTTTGATTTCTTTGATTAGGTTATTTGAATATTTTTCTCAGAATATTGAACCATCACACGCATTTTCTACGAATAATAAAAATAACGAATGACAAAAAAGTCTTCATAGGTACCTATGTTAAGTTTTCAGTTTTTATTTAAAAATATAAAATTGAATAATTATAAAAAATAAACCACATTTGTATTGAAAATGACATTACTTTTAACTCATCGAGCTATATTTAGTGACTAATGACTATTGTGAATTGTCTAATTAGATCATCTTTTCTCAACCTTTTTAGTGTTGTGACCCCCAGAATAGGAATAAAATATGGACAATTACTTCGCRACCCCCCCTATCTATATTAGGTATCAAATTTAAAATTTGAACAGTAAAAATAAAAATATYYAATCATTATCCAAACGAATTATACCACTTTGAATATCAATGTATAACTACTACCTATGTGTAATAATTTAAGCTTATCACAGGTAAACGTTATGTTATATTTAAATCAGCGTTTTATTATTTTTGACCTACGCGACCCCCTGGCTGAGAAACGCTGGTCTAGAGTGCGATACCGTAAATGACATACCGATTTAAATTATTAGGACGATACACAATATACACGTCAAAAAAATACTGTGTGTTAAAATAATATAATATATTGTAATATAATAATGTGTGGACTAAAATAGAAGATCATTTCCGCGGAAGACTAAATACATTTCGAGTAAAATATGTTTCACATTGAAAGTTTRTTTCATCAATTTCAATCAGTACCAGTGTTAATTCAAACAAAAAAATTTGTTTGTTGGTCAAGTGAACGCTGCATGTATACGGAATAATTGTTAAATATTAAGATGATAGACGATGTTTATAAATAAAGATGTAATAAAAAAATGATGTGAATGTTCGAAAAGCATTATGTACCTATAATCCCTGATAAGTGATAAGGTGTCGTCGACAAACACAAAACATGGTTTAGGTACGTYGAGCGTCCAGCAGTATATATTATACACACATCACGTGGTATACGATCTAAAGCAATAACAATATACACTATACATATTATACACGAGTATGTAAAAAATATAATTATAACACGTCTTGTGTCGTCGCGGTAATGGCCAAACGTTTATATATATAGGCACAAAACACATGCACACGTGGTGGTCGTAATTTACTTTGGGCGTACAGTAATAATAATATTCCATCGGGTTATTTATTTATTATTATTATTTCACCGCGTTCTTTGAGGACGCGACGTGTGTGCATTGCCCTCGCACGAACACGCAGACACGTTGGTGCCTATAAATATAGTATTATTATATATAGGACTTAGGTATACCTATATACARCAGAGAGCCCGAACAGAGCAGACAGCTTGACGCTACGGCATTCCATTCAATGGTACAATAATATATAGACACTCACACTCGCACACACACACATACATTTATATACGTCTCGTAGGCATATTACATACACATAATATTATCATGCGTACGCGTTATAGTTATAGCGCGTTATAATATTATGGGTCCAGTGTCTGAGTGTCGGACCGATGGTGGCAAACGTATTATAACTATCCTCACGACGACGACTTCTCGACCGACATTAAATATATAATATTATCATGTATATTATACTATTATTCGCCCGCACGCGTTTACCTACTAAATAAAAACCCTTGGATATAAGTGCAAAATATATTACTTTTATTATATAAGTAACACACATCATGCACATACAATTATGTACGTAATCGGTGGCCTTTAAAAGCATCAAAATCACGTACAAAATGAGCATTACGTTGCCGACCTGTCCTGTTTAATACGGTATTTTTAATTTTAAAATACAATTTTTCACATTGGCGAAAATAGGTGGGGACTCGAGAAGACTTATTTYCCCCATATTTTTGCCAAGTCCCCCCAGTTCAAAAGTCAGTTATAGTATTGAGCATATATAATTTTTAGAAAATATTATAGGAGGGGCTTTAGTACCTACCCCAAAATAATTTGTCAATTCGCGCCAATGATTTTTMATATTATTTTTTAATAATTGTTCTTATTAATTATTCATATTTTCAAAGATAAACATATTAGGTATACTCTTATACGTATATAATGATAAGAAGTACAAGGTACAAAGATACGGCAGTCAACGATCTGCTTTCGCATTTCAATCACCTATAATCGATTAATATTATATATTTTATATGATGTCTTATGCGTATTGCGTATACAGTTAAATTCCGAATTATAAATGTTTTGCATGGGTGCAGATTGTGCAGTATACCTACCAATATTTGGAGTTCGCGATCTACAAAATAGTCAAAACCGCTCGTTATAAAATTATATCATAATCTGCTGATCAGAGTAGCTGCATGTTCCCTTTTTATTAAATTAAAAAGTTTTTAATCCTCCCATTATATATATGGGTAAGTAACCGACTCGTGACTACACGAGACGTATTCAACTATACAAATAACGGCCGAAAATATAGCCAATAGAATTAGTATATTATGATATTAAGGTGTTCATAGAGGTAGGTATAATAAGTATACACAKTAGGTATATACATTATAAWAATATGTATAGGTTCATAGCTCATGGTTATACAAAACAAAACAACAATATTGTTTAATAATTTTAAATAACCTATTATAGTAAATACGATATCATAAATCAATAACATAATCGCGACATTCATGAATTATTATTTTTTTAATTTAACCAATCGGGGGTAGAGATGTCTTGGCATATGATAATATCCACTATAATTTTTGCCCTACAGATATGCCAATGGCTATATCTATACTCTCATTAAATGTATTCATCGCGATTGTTAATACTTAAGTGCCGTAAAATAGGATGACTTGCATCAGTTGCATCTAATGTTGGTAAGAAACTATTTTACATTTTATACCTTTATATGAAGTTTAAACTTTAAAATAAACGTATCTATG